TCATTTCTCGCCGTGGCGCCATTTGGCCATTAAATGCCAATTTCGCAGCACATCTAGCGCCACACGAATCTTTCCCCAAAAGAATCTGTATAATACTGCATAAACGGGTTTTCTCGGTGCCCCTGATGCAAACGAAAATGTAACATTCACTTCCAGCCATGGCGCCGTTCTGTGCCATTTGGTGCCAATTTGGCTCCACTACTTTTTTCACCAAAATCTTTGTAAACCCGCAGCCTGGTTTGTGGAATGGTCACGTGATCGTCTTTTGCAGAGCAAAGCATAAAATCACGTGTTCTTGGCGGTTTTGGTGAGCGCTGAGGACCGGCCAAGCGCCGCAAGCTCACGTGATTTATGTTTGCTCTGCAAAAGACGATCACGTGACCATTCCACAAACCAGGCTGCGGGTTTACAAAGATTTTGTGAAAAAAGTAGTGGAGCCAAATTGGCACCAAATGGCACAGAACGGCGCCATGGCTGGAAGTGAATGTTACATTCGTGATCAGGGCACCGAGAAACCCCGTTATGCAAGTTTATACAGATTCTTTTGGGAAAGATCGTGTGGCGCTAGTGGCGCGAAATTGGCATTTAATGGCGCCAAATGGCGCCACGGCGAGAAATGAATGTCATTTTCGTAAACAGGGCTTTGAGTAGCCCCAGTAATCGAGTTTATACAGACTTTGTTGGAAAAAGTAGTGGCGCCCAGCGTGCGCCAAGTGTGCGGCCAAGAATGGCGCAGCAAAAAACCAACTTCATCGTAGAATATGAGCATACCCTCGGATAGAGCTCGGCGAGCTGATTCTAATAATATATGGGTATCCATACAAAAAATCAAAAAGAACAGCTCTATAACGAAAAAACGAAAAAAACGCGGATCGGCGTTTTTTTCGTAAATTTTTGAACACTTACGGCGGGTACTACGTATAGAGGATTGTTCGTTGCAGTCCACAACACCTGTCTCCATGAAAATCCTAAATCTCTATGAATATTTTAGACCAGAGAGTTTTGCGATTGTATTCTAAATTTAACATCAGCCGATGTGGAATTCCTATACCGTGATCAGGAAGCTGATAATATGTTTTCAGCCTGTCTCCTGCGTACAGTTTCAACACGAAACAGAGGTGGTTGTAGGACCAGTTTCACTTCACCGTGTACGACACAGCTTAAGTCCCTGCCGGGTCCCAGAGCCAAACCTTCCATCGTTCTCCAGGCCAGTGAGCCGCTTGCGCGAACCGCGTGTTGAGAGGTGAAAGGAATCGAACTCAGATTGTTCAGTTAAAGCCGCGCAACTCAGTTTATGCTGCCATGATAATGGTCGGAAAGGCCCCCTACGATTAAAAATGGAAAACAGACCGCGAGCAAGCAAATCCAAACGGTGTAGATTAAGTCAGGCAGGAAGTTTTACATCTTCTAATCCCTAGTGATTGGTTTTTCAAACGGCTGTTGTGGTTTCCGGCTCAAGGGGGATTAGTTACAAAAAACATAATCTTGCAGCAATTCCTGTGCAAACTGAGAGGCGTTGAATGGGAGTGAATTGGACGATGGCAGGTCCTTCCTCGAAATTGGTGCGGCATCTATTGTGGTAAAGACCGCGCTTAAGTAGCGTTGAATCCACCACTGCCGCCCCGTCAATACGTCCTGTCTAACTTGCAAGCGGAAGCAGTCCTCGTGACTTGTGAGCACCTATGACGAAGTTTGAGTGACTTTACAGTCCGAAAGTTTTCACTTTCACCTCTCTGACCAACAGGTTATCAATTATCGAAACTCATACGATTACAACGATGGACTAGTCACGGGCCATGAACTAAATGAAGTGAATTGACGCATTCAGCCCTAATAGTGAACGAGTTCCCGCCTCGAATGAAAAACAAGTTGGTCGGTTTTCGCATTCGTTTTGTTTTCTGCCTTGATTGATCTAATTTCTAATTTCCCTTTCTTCCTGTCTTACGTAGATTTCATGGAACTTCTCGTTGACGGTGCCGTGCAGAGTTTGAAATTATTAGTGTAAATAACATTAGTTAACTGCTGCCTGTAAAGAGAATTTTGCATCCCAACTGCATAAACACTTCTTACTCTTTCAATTACATCTACCATTTTTTTTCTGATTCTCATTACTCGGCAATGTTACCTCATTCCGGTTTTCTCACCCCAAGGAAAACCCACAGGAGTCTCGTGATTGCCCTCATAATAATTAGATTTTCGAGTCAAATGATTTTATCACGTGTTCCCCTCTTCTAGTTGTCGCCTTGTTGTTGGAGATGATTGGTTACCTTGTTTTACTTGCGCTTGGAATCACTGGAGTAAGAGGTGGCGTCGTTGGAGGTAAACCAAGCTGTCGTATATTCCGCCTGCAATTGACTCAAAGACACCAATTCAGAATGCCGATCAGAATGCGTCGAACAGAATCTCTACAGAATTGTTCGAGTCCATCTGAAGGTAAGAATTTTCGCTATACGGCAAGAGTCAACCGACGATTTCTACAGTCCCCAACCGTCAACACGCGACGGTTGGGGAGTAGAAATTTTACCCTCAGTGTCGCGTCGCCTTTCATTTCTCATTGCTTTCCTCTTCACGTAACCTTGTAAGTTACTCGAATTTCCTGGTGTTTTTCCTTCCCCCTTTGGATGTCGGAGCTGATGAAGAGAGCGAGGTGCTGCTCACACTGGGTTTCGACGCAGTGAGTCGGGCAGGTGTCAGTAGGCGTGGAATGAGCGTACATACCACTACGTTTTCTACCAGTAGCAGCCGTTTCATTCAGAAAACATCCAATTGGTGTAAAACTCCGTGGATGGGATCATCCCACTTCTCCGGCTAATGCCGTTTGGACTCCAGAAATTTCGTCTTCGAGCTCATTTTCAAATTGCCTAAGTCACCAAATCCACTAAAAACTTGTATATAGGGGTAATTCAACATCCTGATTACGAGTATGACACTCATTCTTGGCGCTGGCGCCAAGAGAGGACACTACGATTACCTCCTGGGCTCAGCCTTAGCAGAGCGCAGGTAACCGTAGTGTCATCCATTAGCGCCAGCGCCAAAAATGAATGTCATATTCGTGATCAGGATGTTGAATTACCCCTATATACAAGTTTTTAGCGGATTTGGTGATCTTGCCACTTTTAAAATGAGCTCTTTCTGGAGTCCAAACGGCATTAGCCCACTTCTCCTGAGCAGCCCTATCGGGCTGCGACGATATCAACTAGACTGAATACCAATCAGGGCACGTCGTTGGGGAATCCCCAGCAGGGGGTCGTACATGATCCCGCGGGGTGGGCGTTGTACTTTGTTTAAGTAAAATTTTTCTGATAGCTATTTTTGTTTCACGGAGGCTATTCACATCGTCAGGAGAATTCTAAGAGGTAGGGGGAGGGGTAATCGTATCGCCTTCCCCCCCACTCGATGGCGAAACTTTGGGGCAAGATGTGGACAATTTTGGGAAGAAGAGGTCGTGTCAAAGGAGGGGATTCGGGTAGAGGACGGGGGGCGGGGGAGAGGGTGTCGCATTTTCCGAAAAGTCCCCCCATGGGCAGGTCGTGCCCTGATGCCAATGTCGCGACGCGAACTGTCTAGGGGTCGTGGCCCGCGGCGACTTTGACAGCAATGTAATAATCTACACCCCTACCGCGTTCTTACTGGAATCCATACTGCTTACTATTAGACGCGCTATAATTACGGACTCTATTCGACTTTGTGGACATTTAGGAAGACTTCGTGATGGTTGGCATCTGCAGGAATACCACAGTGTCCACAGGTGTTTTATCGACTGTGATCCCGTTCATATGTAACCGCCACCATGGTATTTGGACGTTAGATGAAGCCGTAAGTTTAGCAATTATCGTCTTGTGAATACTCATTCCCCACGTTTGATTATCCTCAGTTTGTGGGTGAAAACAGCTGATCTCATCGTATCACCTGTTGACCGTTGCGCCATTTGTGAGCGTGTTGGTGTTGGTGGGAGTATGGGTGAGCATGTAAACCCTTGCTGAGCCGCTTAGGCGTAGTTCACAGTTTGCGACCCTGGCAAAACAGCGAGTCGGCGAAAAGCAACGATTCGGCCAAATAATACGTATTGATTGGAGAATCGCCAACCGCTCTGGAGAAACGCCGCCGCGTTCGGCGGTTCGGCGAAAAGCAATAGATGCGTATCGATTTCGCTGGCTCCGCCCTAGAGAAAAACGCCAGGGCGGTCGGGCTAGCGTTTTTCGCCCAACCGCTCTGCCGAACCGCCGGCGATACGTATTAAAACCGTTTCGCGCGACCTCCGACTCTTCGCCCAACCGCCAATCGATACTATCAGAAAGCTTCTTGGTGTATTCTTTCTAGAGAAACGCTGGGTCGCAGATTGTGAACAGTCCCTAAGAGACCGCTCTTTGTTGGTGACGCCATGTAAGGACTTGCTCAGAGCTCTTGATTGTTCGGTGTATCCGTGTTATGAGCCTTGTGGAGTTATCGTGCTCTTTGTCTTTGAAAAATGCCGTAACGAAATAAAAATAGCAAAAAAAATCAACAAAATCGCTCCGCACTTCTAACAGGTATTATTTCAGGACGAGGAAGGCATCGTTCAGTTCAACATCCGATGCCCACCGAACGATCCTGTTCCACTACTACAGATTGCTACCTGCCCACGATCATTTTAGATGAGTTGAACACACCATTTGCTGTCTGCAAAGCAGGTGGAGCCAAGGAACGGCACCACTAGCACAGCCCTCTTCATCCCCACCATTTCAGTGATGATGAACAAGGTGGGAAGGAGACAGTCAAGCCAATAATGTCGTTCCTTAGCTCCGCCCATCCGACAATCTCAAACGATGTCTTTAACGGTCTCGATTGTCTTGCAGCAAGAGCACTATTCATCCTTTACGACCCTACTCTTCAAAGCTACTCTTTGACCGGATTTTTCGAAATCTTCCCACGGGAGTGGATATGACTACAGTGTGGTAGTTCGAACACGAGTTACGTCAGCTAACCATAAAACGCAACTTACAGGTCCCTTTTTACCAAGTTTATGACAAACTGTTGCGATATTCGTGATCAGCTTTGTGAGCTGACACTAGGGCTTTTTTGGCCGAACTTCTCTATGAAAATAAGGAATTTCTCTAAAAATCCTGTCTAGAAAAGGAGGAGGCGGGCCGTAAAGATTGAATGGTGCAAAATAATTCCTGGCGCAGCTCTGCTTGGGGAGGGGTGTACATTTGCACTTCCGCTAGTTATTATGTCGTGTCCAGCCATCAAGCAGAGACTTGTGATACCTGTGAAGCCATGAAGCGATACCAGTAATTTGATAGAACTGTCAACTCTCAAAAAGCAATCAATTTGACAATGGAAAGTAGCGAAACTGCAACATGCCCCCCCAAGCCGAACTGTGCCTCTTTCCTTTTACCACCCTTTTCTGTTATGTTAAATATGTTCTAGAAAATAATACAAACAACATCGATCTCAGATAGCATGTAAATAAGAGATTTCATGTAACAGTTCATCGATGATAAATGTTTTTGTTGCGACTGCTTCCATGAGAGAATAAATTACCTTTATCACAGACACAATTTTTAGTACATAGTTCACTGATCACAACTTCATGATATGAGCGAAACAAGTAAACAAGACTTCCATGGGATTTCCACATAAAAAAAGAGAAAACAGAAAATGCTGGCGATGCCACATCAGATGCCCCTCAATTGAGAGTGTCAAACAGTGATGACATCACGTTACTATGAGAGAAGTAGAGAGCAGAGTCAGAAGTAAAGTGAAGATTACCTTAAGGCAGTGGGGAACGACTGCTGGAGGCGGGCGGTTGTGGCCAATGTCATTGGTGAAAAGGCTGCGAGGAGGCGTTAGCCAGCTCCCTATCAGCCCTTCGACCTATGATATTGCCGACAACCGTCTCGCCCCCAGGAATAGTGCCCACTAGCTTCAATACAAAACTAACTGGGATCTTCTGGAATCACATACAACTACTCTAAACTGATTGTTCTAGGGAATTATTCGATAACCTTATTAGCTTCAAAAGCATGCAACAAAACAGCGAATAGCAAAAGTCGTAGCGTGACGCGTTTCCTCGGTTCTCGAATTGACTGATTATTGACTTTTGCTTTTCACTGACGCTGACTAGGAACGGGAGGAAAACTACCTACACATTTATAAACAACGTATAATGCTATGTAATCAGAAAAAAGACAATTATTAGAGTATCTTACTTCTTGATAACACTCCAGTCTTTTCGAGGGATTTTTTGGAGGTATTTGATTTTGCTGAACAGCAACTTGTACCTGAAACAAAGGCATTGAATGTCATATCAGTCAGTCATACCTGGGTAATAGGGCACAAATCCGAATATCATTTCAATGCGGTGAGTAACCCAACGTAAAAAAGAACGCCGTCGGGAACTGAAGTCCATCGCTTGGACATCTCTGCCATCTAACGGTGGTAAAACCGAATGATTGGAGAGTAGAGATATCGCTATTGATGTAGCGATGACAGC